TTATGTTTGGATTGTGCATCAATGCAATGTCCATGAACTTAACATGCTTTGTTGCTCAGGTGGTCTAATTCCACTACTGTTGAATGTACACACATAAACGATTTCGCTACTGAGTGATATGTTTCATGAAATAATGAAAATATGTTCCTCTATTACTACCATGCTCCGAACCAGTCACCACTTCAGATGGGAGGGCTGTTAACGGCGGTTCCCTCTGTCAGCTGAGGAAGAGCTGTACTCTATTGGGTAAGTATCCACTACCATTGCCTGTACTTTCTTTTGCCTGTATGCGTACGTACAAGTGGTCAGAAAGTCATTGCAATTGTAATCTCCAGATCAAAGTAAAAAGCCAATTGGATTTTTTCGTCATGACAGAACGTATGAAGGACCAGGGCCAGGACTTGGACTTGGACTCCAAGCAGCGCATCTGTTACCTCGCAACCCAGGGTCTACTGATACCTGCCGACGACGATTGTGAGAAACCAGGTAGGGGCACTTTTGTAACAAACAGTAGGAATCTTACCTTTTTAGCTTGTCACCAGATAGCGTTAAACCTCTGGTGAATAGTGTTAAAACATTTTAGCGTACCGCTTCCTTTTCATCGTAAAGAACGCAGAGGTTGTTCTTTCAAATGCGACTGTGTTGTTTAAATTTCAATTGAAGCAACCTGCGTCCTGAACTGCGTTACAAACGTAATATATTCTTTGCTTCAATCCACATACAGCTGCTCTTGCTGTAGACACCATCAAACCTCCAGAGAGTCTGACGGAAACCCTGTGTCAGCTGAGGGAAAACTGTGCTTTGATTGGTAAAACTGGTCCTTTGTTTTTTCTTTCTGTTTTTTTTTGTGTGTTTTGTTTTTGTTTTTAAATTGCCATCAGAATCCCTAAATATTTGTGATTACATTGTTTATGGTATCCAGTGACATTGGCAGTTGATATAATAGTTAGCCAGGGCATTCTATCGTTCTATCTTTCATTGAGCAACATAAGTATATGATAATAACAAACCAACCAGTAACAACACAGCAAATATCAAAACAGCATATGGGCAATATTTTGAAAAAGAATGGTTACCCATGGCCATAGGCAGTTGAACACATTTATCATTAGTTATTTCTAAACCGATTTGAGAGAACAATGAGTTAAGGTCAGGACATGTCTGTTGGTTTCCGGGCTCACGAGAGGTGAGCCCTTAAGTAGTACGTTAGTACAAGCTTGTTCAGACAGATCTTGCTCATCGAGAATGGGGCCTACTATCGGTCTATTTTTCAGCGCTCTCAGTGACCCCTCAAGACCCACATTACGAGACTATGAAGGGCGTCTGTCAGCTCGCACACAAGAAGACGGATGTCATTGGCAACATCACCTGCCAAAGCCAACGTCCAGAGTTAAGCAGGGAGTATTACTTCGATGACTGTTCAGAGATTTATGCTGCCCAGGCCACGTTCAGCTTTGTCAGTAGCGGCGTGTACAACATTAAACCTTCTGGTTCGGACTCTTTTTCTGTGTACTGTGACATGAGTACAGCCGGGGGTGGCTGGACTGTTATACAGAATAGATTTGACGGGACTATTCACTTTACTGGCAGACGGTTCAATGATTACAAGTACGGGTTTGGGTCCGCTAGCGGGGAATATTGGGTGGGGCTACAAAACATGTACAGGATAACTGCCCAAAATTCTTACGAACTGTATGTGGAACTTGTGGACTGGTCCGACAATGTCAGGTATGCTAAGTACTCCTCTTTTGGAGTTGGGGCGGGCGATTATTATCAGCTAAGCCTTGGTACTTACAGCGGGAACGCAGGAGACAGCCTTACACTCTCGAATGGCGCGAAGTTTAGTGCGAGAGACCGTGATCAGGATTCCCACCATTCTGCTAATTGTGCAACCTACAGTAACTTTGCCGGGGGATGGTGGTACAAGGCTTGTGCCAACAGTGCCCTGAATGGTCCCTACCTCCGGCCTTCCGACCGTACCACGCATAGTGGCTTTGGCATTGAGTGGAGCCACTTTTCACCCTCCACCTACCAGACGTACCTAAAAAAATCCAAAATGATGATCCGTCCTACTGACATCCGCACCGGAAAATAAAAGTATGAACTTCCCCTTACACTGAGAAGGTTTGTAACACAAAAGTTAGTCTTTTTTGGCTCTGTCTCTATCTCTATCTCTCTATCTCTATCTCTATCTCTCTGTCTCTCTCTATCTCTCTCTGTCTCTCTTTATTTCTCTCTCTCTGTCTCTCTCTGTCTCTCTCTGTCTCTCTCTCTCTCTCTCTCTCTCTCTATGTTACCGATGGAAGTGACTATTAGCCACGTGTTCAGACTACTTCAACATTGTTAAAATATACCAAATCTGAATCCCTTGTTCCATACATTGACTCGGCGTGGTAAGAGTATTTCTTTCAAATTCTCAAAATATGCAGGGTTAACGTTACAAAGACTTAGTCACTACGACCTTCTTCAGTTGTAAAGGGAAAACTCGTTTTAAAGGGAGGGTTGACTTTTTGTTATGTCCAACTGAATTCGGTAAAAGATCCCAATCATTAAAACATCAAAGGCGGTGGTAATCCATATATGCCATATCATCTTTGCCAGAACCTTTGGTCATTGCCAAGAAACTGTTTGATCAAGTATTTTGTCAAGTGTTCGTGACAAAGACCTAAAGTTCTCTCGTACGATTATGACAGGGTTAAAAGAGGTCCCGTTAGTAGCTGCTTTGCAAACGGAACACAACATTATTAGATACTCGTACTGCATAATCCTTGAGGGCAATGGAGTGGGGAAATGTTTGTGCTCTGAACTAAAATCGTGCACGATTTGAGAAGATAGCAGCCGGTATGAAACACCAAAGTGGCATTGGAGGCCTTGGTTAAATTTTCCACATCGTGAGCATTGCGCGCAGGTTTGTGCAAAGTTGGTGAAAATGATCTAATGACAATGTCTGTATAACTATATAACTATAACTGTTTCGATGCGTTCGCTGTTGGTAGTGTTTGAAATATATGTCAGGGTTTTTCCCTTGGCTGCATCGCAAACTTACACTATTGTGACATGTCACAAAGGTACTACTATAGGGATAGAAAGACGCTGTATAGTTTTCTTTCTATCACAGAATTTGATATCAACCTATATAACCTTTGAATGGTATCGGAAAACAGTGATAACAAACTATTCTATTGTACTCCAGACACAAGTTTTGTGTAATAATACATTTATGGTTGGAATCATTATATCCCATTTATTTCATTGTGCAATGCTAAAACTGACTGTTAAGAGGCATTTTGCTAGGATGTTGACTAGGACTATGTCAATGACTGTATACCTATGCAACTACAGGAGACTATGGCGTATGGACTTGTTGGTGTTTGACGAAGTTTTCACTGGCTTGTGTTCGATAACATCTTGTGTCAAAAGTATCATAGCCAAAATACGGTATACGATGTTCTTTTCAGGACTGGGCAGAAAACAATAGGCAGTGAAGACCAGTTCTCTTGTACCAGTAATTGCAATCAGTCTTTGTCATTTTCGAATATTCGTATCATTGCTCTAGTTGACTACTTTGCTGCAGGCTTTTAGAATAAAGGTTGACCCCAGTGACAAAGTATCTAATGCTTTCATTCCTATACAAAATGATTTAGCTCGTGTCACAAAGAAACGTAAGAGTGATTCTACAGGCACCTTATTTCATCCCTGATACTTTCCGTTCCTTTTATTAGTTGTTCAATGTAACATCGTTGTAATAGTGTTCTTCAAAAACATTTCACACGGTACGTAGGCGAGTAATACACAGTGTAGCACACACGGCGTGCAACATACAACCTACTAAGTTACAAAGCTCATCAACAGCAAACAATACAAAACTTGAAATGTATAGCGAACGTCAGTGCGGAAAACGTGTCAGTTTTGATATTGGAACCTGCAAGGTCATGCCCTTGGCTGACCCCAACGCGGGGCACCCTGGGAAGCCCAAATCTTCCCACTTTTCCACAGCAAGGTTATATCTTTCCGTCAATGGGGGGAGTCAAATAACTTCCCCCTTTGCCATTTGACACCACAGTCATCATCATCATCATCGGTCGACCGTATTGGTTGGGGTTATACCACCCCTCACGAGGTGACATACCCTTTCGTTAGCTTAATAAAAGACGGGGTTCGCCAGGCCTCCGTCCGAGTGATTATGTATCTTGTCGCGCTTCAAGTCATATTATGAAAAACACTGAAAGCCCTAACACCGTTTCTGTATGATTGATTAGGCCATATCCTGTCACGGTACTTGTATCTTATGATGCATGCGTGTATGAATATGATATTTGCCAAGGCTTTGCAGTACTCCAAAAAATGCAGACATTGTTCTTTTCAATTGTAAACCAAATGTAACATCCTTGTATGTCTGTTATTCCATATTACTGTAGTGCACTGTAAACAATTTGAAGACGTCCGCATGGGTTCAATAAAATATATCTCATATAAATATATGAGGTTTCAAGACCTCCGTAAACACAATTTTCAGCAATGGCGTGGTCAAAGGTGTGTAATAACAAACATCACAATTCAAAAGATATTGCACAGCATCATTACGTTTGAGAGAAGTAATTAGTATCAGCCCTCTTTTTCTTCCTTCAGAAATCACTCTACGATACAATATTGTAGAGTGTAATGTTTGTTGATAACCCTCATCACTGTCATCATTTTAACATTGAATGCCAGCCTTAAACGTTTTGTGAGTAAAACAAAATATGGTATATTTGTCAATACCGGCGTATGTGATGTACTTAAACAGTACATCTAATATATGCTACAACCATGATATTTACAAAACTCTTGAAAGAACTATTTTAGTGTTTCCCCACGGAAAATAACACTTAGAAACACTACAATTTCTCTCACTTGCAATATTGTTTTCCTGGTTATTAGTCCACAAACCCAGATGTTCAGTTTATTGTGCCACTTGAAAATATCCTTTAAAAGCCGATACCCAGTTGGTCTGAAAATACCTGCCGTCACGAACTGTTGGTGAGTACCAATTTAGTTTCCATCGCATGTTACGTTTTAGGCCTTATACAAATCGTTTGTATTTCGCAGCAAATTTAGAAGATGGCCTCAATATCTGATTCAGCAACCGTTTACTTTTTCAAGTAATTTTGAAAGCTTTTACGTTCAGTTCTCAACATCTACCAAAGGATTTTTTGGCTGACGTGTGTTCAACAGATTAACGTGGTGCCTGAAGTTTTACTCTCTTGTTTCGAAGACTGAAGTTATCGCCAAACAATGGCTCCTCGTTCTGTGAGCAATGCTGTGAAGGTGCTGTTTGTGCTTGTCGTCATTATGGGTAAGTTTCCATTTCCTATGGACGTTTTTGTCTATCCGACCTACACAGTTCTCCACTACAGATATGCACTATGTTTGTTTAGTGAAGTCTCGGTAGATTGTTCCTGGTTGTGATATTCGTCCTTTGGATCCTTGATATTTCGTTGCAAACTCAATGCTCTCGAGGCTTGGAAAGCCATCAGATGCCTTATCAGATTTTGCTGTCATTTTGTACTACTGTACATTCTACACCAGTGCACTGCTAGCCTCTTGCTCTGTCCTGTTAAATGCTGAAATAGAATGTACATCAGCTAGCACCATTCCACGTTCTGCATTCGTCTTTTGTTAGATTCGTCATCAATACCTTGTTTATTAACTTGTCATGATTTGTTTGGTCAGATTGTCTCCTTATGAACAATTTACATACGGTAAACTGATGTGTTTCATCAAATGAAAGTTATTGTCATCATTATTTAAACCAGTCACCACTTCAGATGGGAAGAACAGCGGCTCACTCTGTCAACTGAGGAAGAACTGTACTCTACTGGGTAAGTATCCCCTGCCATTGCCTGTACTTTTTTTGCCTGTATGCGTACGTGCAAGTGGTAAAAAAAAAAGAATTGCCATTGTCACCTCTACAAGCTCAAACTGAAATTTCGAATGTTTTTTTTTTTCTTTTCAGAACGTTTGAAGGACCAGGACTTGGGTTCCAAGTGGCGCATCTGTCACCTTGCAACCCAGGCTCTACTGTTACCTGACGACAGCGATTGTGAGAAACCAGGTAGGTACACTTTTGTTACCATCTGTATCCATACATATGTATGGATTTTGCCGTCAATTGGTGATATTTCAGCTTGTCAACAGACCAGTCCTATATTAATGATTAACAGTGCTAGAGCCTACAATGTACAACAGTATACCTTAGCCTTTACAACTAACTTGTGGTTTCATGTGAAGCACGTTGCGTCGTACGTGGATTGCGTGGCAAATGTCATACTCTATTACAGTATTTTTTACTTCAATCTACATACATCAGCCCTTGTAGACACCATAAAACTTCCAGAGACTCTACCGGAAACCTTGTGTCAACTGAGGCAAAATTGCGCTTTGATGGGTAAGGCTGGTCTTTTTTTCTTTTTGAACATTCAAGTAGTTACAATATTGTGATATTACGAATTTACTCATTTGCGTAACCATTTATATTCTATTGATATGACATTGTGTCCTTGTGAAGAGTCGTAATGCAAATACAAACGACAACCAAACCCTCCAATGATACTACTTGGCATATATACCGCCAGTACAATTTGCACAGAAAAATTCTGATCTGAATAATTTTGATCGCATTGATTATGATATCCAACGACATCACAGGCAGTTGATATGCTAAGTCTCAGTACAAGGCCTTCTATCATTTCATTTTTCAGCGCTCTCGGTGACCCCACAAGACCCACATTACGAGACCATGAAAGGCGTCTGTCAACTGGCACAGAAGGAGCTGAACGTCTTTGACAACATCATCTGCCATCCTGTCGGTAAGTACATACTGAAGCTTTCTAAAAATCATCGACAACATCACTTTCTTGGACCATGGGATGTTAGAGAATATTGAAAAAGAATTGTGATTTCACTGATGAGATGCCTTAGTGCTTGATGATTACACTGTGACTGTGGTTCCCTTTATTGCTCTAGCTCTATTGTCTTGCAAGTACGTCCGGCCTAATAATCTCATTGGGATCTTATGTTATGATGAAATCAAAAGCCTCATATCTCTCAGTTGCTTTGACGTTCAAAATCGTCCAAAGCATGTCTAATTGGAGTATGAAGCATGGGGTGGATTATTTTTTATTTTCATTTTATTGAAATTGCAATGCAAAGCGATACAAAGGCGACCCTGACGGATTACTTTGTTATTTTCTCTAGATCATTATCTGATCGTAGCTAATGATTGATTTCAGGATATCAGTTCTATTCTAAGAAGCGGCACATTTTGAAGTCAGAAACTGCTGTGGTCCATGTGGTTAAGAAATATAAAAATTATGACTGTTTTAAAAGTCTGTTCTTGCGTTTTCAGGGATACCAAGAAAGCAGAGTCAATGTGGATCAGAGGAAGGCACGAATAGGGAACTCACAAATGTTCCAGAAGGCCAAAGAACAGAGTTAAGTACGGAGTATTACTTTGATGACTGTTCAGAGATCTATGCCGCCCAGACCATGTTCGGCTCTGTCAGTAGCGGCGTGTACAACATTAAACCTACTGACTCGGACTCTTTCTCTGTGTACTGTGACATGACCACAGACGGGGGAGGCTGGACTGTTATACAGAATAGATTTGACGGAACTCTTCACTTTAACAGAATGTTCAACGATTACAAGTACGGGTTTGGGTCCGCTAGCGGGGAATATTGGCTGGGGTTGCAAAACATGTACAGGATAACTGATCAGAATAGTTACGAACTGTATGTAGAACTTGTGGACTGGTCTGACAATGTCAGGTATGCTAAATACTCGTCCTTTGGAGTTGGAGCAGACTATTATCGACTTAGCCTTGGTAGTTACAGTGGGAACGCAGGAGACAGTCTTGAATACTCGAATGGCGAGAAGTTTAGTGCGAGAGACCGTGATCAGGATTCCCACAGTTCTATTAATTGTGCAACCTACAGTAACTTTGCCGGGGGATGGTGGTACAAAGATTGTGCCAACAGTGGCCTGAATGGTCCCTACCTCCGGCCTTCCGACCGTACCTCGTACAGTGGCTTTGGTATTCGCTGGGGCAAGTTTTCACCCGCCAACTACTGCAATTACCTCAAAAAGTCCAAAATGATGATCCGCCCTACCGACTTCGGCACCGGAAAATAAAAGCATTAATTTCCCCTTGCACTGAAAAGGTCTGTGAGTGTGACATCATTCACAAAAACTTTGCACCGAAATATTCTCTCTCTCTCCCTCCCTCTCTCTCTCTCTATCTCTCTATCTTTCTCTCTCTCCCTCTCTCTCTCTCTCTTTGTCTGTCAGTCTCAAAGATTTGAAAATATTTCACCCAACTATATATTTTATTTTTTGATAATGTTTTTGCAAGTATGAATGATACCGATGAAAGTTTCTATCGGGTGTCAAAATATATCAAATCTAGATCTCTTTTCTCGATCCATATTGACTCAACGTGGTCAAACTTTGTAAGTCCGTTCATCTTTAACAGATTTGTCCTTGTTTGCTCAATCAAAAAATGCCACAACGGTGTCAAAAGACATTCAATATGGCCTTGTTCAGTTGTAGGGGAAAACTCGTAAGGGAGGGTTAGCTTTTTGTTATGAACAACAGAAGTCGGCATGGAGCCTGCGGTATAAGATCCCAACCAAAGGCCGTGGTGAACCATATATGCCATTTCATCTTTGCCAGAAACTTTGGTCTCTGCCAAGAAACTGTTTGATCAAGTATTTTGTCAAGTGTTCGTGACAAAGACTTTAACTTCTCTCGTACGATTATGACAGAGTTAAACGGGGTCCGGTTAGTAGCTGCTTTGCAAAAGGAACACAGCATTAGATACTGCATAATTCTTGAGGGCGATAGAGTGGGGGAATGTGTTTGTGCTCTGAACTAAAATCGTGCGCGATTTGAGAAAATACCAGCCGGTACGAAACATCCAAAGTGACATTAAAGGCCCCAGTCAAATTCTCTACATAGTGAGCATTGCGCGCAGCTGCAGGTTTGTGCAAAGATGGTGAAAATGATCTAATGAAAATGCTTGTATAACTATATAACTATAAACTGTTTCGACGCGTTCGCTGTTGGTGGTGTTTGAAATTTGTGTCAGGGTTTTTCCCTTGGCAATACCGCAAACTTATGCAAGCTCGATGACATATCACAAAGGTAACAGTATAGGGATAGAAAGATACTGTATGGTTTTCCTTCTATCAGAGAATGTGATATCAACCTATATAACCTTTGAATGGTGTCAGAAAACAGTGTTAACAAACTATTCTATTGTACTCCAGATAAACGTTTTGTGTGATAATACATTAATGGTTGGAATCCTTATATCCCATTTATTTCATTGTGTAATGCTGACACTGATTGTTAAGAGGCATTTTGCTAGGATGGTCACTAGGATCTTATGTCAATGATTGCATACTTATGCAACTACTAAGGCGTATGGACTCTTGTTGGTGTTTGACACAGTTTTCACTGGCTTGTGTTCGATAACATCTTGTGTCGAAAGTATATAAAAAGACGACATACAATGTTCTTTTCAGGAGTTGACAGAAAAATAGGCAGTGAAAACCAGTTCTCTTGTACCAGTAATTGCAATCGGTCTTTGTCGTGTACGAATATTCGTAGCGTTATCATTACTCTCTAGTTGACTACTTTGCTGCAGGCTTTTAGAATAAAGGTTGACCCCAGTGACAAAGTATCTCATGCTTTCATTGCTCTACAAAATGATTTAGCTCGTGTCACAAAGAAACGTAAGAGTGATTCTACAGGCACCTTATTTTAGCCCTGATACTTTCTGTTCCTTTTATTAGTTGTTCTATGTAACATCGTTGTAATACTGTTCTTCAAAAACATTTCACACAGTAGGCGAGTAATACACAGTGTAGCATACGCAGCGCGCAACATACAATCTACTAACTTACGAAACTCATCAACAACAAACAATTGAAAACTTGAAATGTATAGCGAACAGTCAGTGCCGAACGCGTGTCAATTTTGATATTGGAACCTGCAAGGTCATGACCTTAGCTGACCCCAACGCGGGGCAACCTGGGAAGCCCAAATCTTCCCATTTCTCCTCAGCAAGGTTATATCTATGCGTCATATGTTGAGTCAGAATATACAGATAACTTCCCTCTTCGCCATTTGACACCAGGGTAAAATCATCAAAACATGGTGTACCCTCATTTCTGAGAGGCTGAGGGACATGCAGACGATACAACAGCGTCGTCCATTCTTTTGACTCAAGGTCAAAGCACATCGGGTCGACCTCGAAGTCATGTGCCCTCTGACCAATCACGAACAGCTTTTCTCTCCATGACGTCATGGAGGTCACGAACCGTATCCTGGGAACGACGGTCAGCCTGTCCCACTTGTTTCCCTCCATTGAAAGACTACAACAAGAAATAGCAAAAATTTTGACTCATCAAAAGAGTATAAATGTGACTGTTAGCTCCCAGTTTAAGCAACGCCAACAAAAAGATTGTGTGCCTCTGCGTAAATATGCCAGAAAGCGCTCGGAGAAATTTTTTGTGCCTGTCCTTGGTGCTGAAATCTTCCATTTGAATATATCAAGAGTTCCAAGCGTGTACAAAGTACTACAAACGCTATCTGGACAGGTTTTAAACATCTTCATCTAAATGGAGTTGCATCATGCTTACCTGTAAGAGCGCTCGTAGAATAGTTGCTTGTGTCTGTCCTTGGTGCTGAAAGCTTTCATTTGAAGATATCAAGAGCTCTAAGTGTGTACAAACACTCTCAAGGCAGGTTTTAAACATCTGAATGGAGTTGCATGATGCTGACCTGTAAATGACGTCGCTTTGTGGTGACGCAATGTTAGTGTATACCGTGTCGTTGCACGTGACTGCGTTCGATCTGACGATTGGTTTCGGTAGCCTGGACCCCTCCCTCCATTCTCCCTTTCTCAAGTCGTACACTTCGACACAAGCTAGCGGCTCCGGGGCTGGGTGTCCGCTGGAGTCAACTTTCACAACGGAACCACCTGAAAATAAAAACATTTTCCACATGTACTTCTCTGGTTCAAAATATATTTTAAAATGGCCAAAACTTAAAGTCAAGAAACACTAATTGCATTGCTTTTTTTTAATGCTTACCTATTGCAAAGATGAGGTCATGATTCTCCATCGTTGCCAACCCCAACAAAGCTCTCGGTGTTGGAAGAGGCTGGAAAGCCGACCACGCGTTGAAGAGGGGGTCATAAACAAATGCCTTTGTTTGTAGACTGTCCCTCTTCGCGTTCGTATATCCGCCTAAGATGACCAAGAAGTTGTGTATGACGCATACAGAACAACCATGTGTGCTGAGTTCGTCAGGTAATTTGCCTAGATTTTGCCATCCGGCTTCCAAGTGATTGAAAGCATAAAGAGGGCGCGGGTCGTCAGGACTTTTCGGTGATGCCACATTGTAATTTCCCACCGCACACATAAACTGTGCTGCAGTGGGCTCGTATTCCGCAAGATGGAAGTGCTGACTGGAGTTGTTCAGCTCAAACGGTGCAGGTGGAACTGCAGTGCGTCTATAGCTCGCTAGTCGTCTCTTTTGCAGCGTCGGGAGCCTGTTGAATTCTTCCGATTTCAACAGGTCAATGTAATGCCTCGTCATAAATCTATATGCTGCGTTGCCGAGCGATGGAATGAAATGTTTCTCGGCGATTCGCAGACAAGCAACGCAGGTGGCAACTGTCATGTTTCTTGTTACGTATTTCAGCAGACCCTCCATTTGAAGAAACACCGCTGTATCTAAGACTTCTTCCACCGAAACATCGTTACAGCAAAGGTTGTCTGAGATCAAAAACTCCAGGATGACCTGAAAAGCTGCAAGTGACACTCCGTGCAGCACGACCTGATTCTTTTGACTCTCCTTCATTCCTGAAGCCAGAAGCGCGCGAAAATATTCGCTACCCTCTGAGAGAACATTCTTTTGTATATGTAACCGTTTTTCGTCAACAACAACACAGATTTCGTCCATTCTACAGCCAAAAAGGCCGTTGTTTGGCGTATGAAAACTGACTCTCCTCAGTGATACTCTCCTCGACCCTTTTATCTTTCCCTCATCAGACGACTTTCCGCGTGACGTCAGTTGAGATCCCGGATGTGAACGATCGTTTCGTTCCCATGGCAACCGTTCGAGCCGCGGAGTTGGCGATCTCAAGGCAGCCATTCCTGACAACGTGCAGTTTCTTGAGTTCCTCGAGAAGTATAAAGATCTCAGGTAGGTGCTTTGAGAAACAAGGGAACCTAAGAGAAGGCAAAGCCAAACCGAAATTACTACACAAGAAGACAGGTCCCTTTGAATATACAGTGTGCGTGTGTGGTGGGGAGGGGAGTGGCCTATGCATGTGACCATACATGAGGTCAGGTATCATCTTAAGATAAGTACACAAAACAAACACTACATACTATAACCCTGGGGTCAGACAAGGTCATGACCCCGCCATTCACCCATGATGCCCCTTATAGTGTCTGTTTACGTCAGCCTATCTTCTTGTGACGAAACATTTTATATATCTAAATATATCTTAAACAAAGGGGTAGAGAAATGCTGGAAGTTGACTGAAATAACCTAGGTAAATGGGTCCAAGTGGAGTATATAATGTTACGGATATGTCTGTAAAAAAAACTAGTTTTTCATGATAACCAACAATTTCCATTCTACCTTGTCAAAGGGTCGCCACAGCTATAATTGTGTGCTCATAAAGACACGAAAAAATGATATAACATTATAACATACACCGACGCTAGTAAGTTAGCTTCCAACAGCGAAAATGATATTGGAATTTTCACGCTACAACTTTTAATCTCAACGTACGAAGTATACTAATGTACAAATTGCATATTTTGTTGAAACGCCATAAAGACGTGCACGCCTTACCTGAAAGGCACGCCCGCTACAATCCTTAATACGGCTCTGAGGGGACCACGGCGAATGACAACTAGCAAGTGACAACAGGTGCTCGCCCCCCTCCCCCATAGAGATAGCCGAGGGGAATGTAGGATGTATTTGACCTCTGAGACAGACGGAATGTTGTGTACCAAACTCGTTCCTAACCAGACAACTCTGACGACTGTCTTTAATATTTGTTTATCATCTTCATCTCTGTTTAAGATGATCATAATATGCATAAAAATTGCGCAATTGCGTTACTTCAATTGCGTCACTAGCCAGTAAGATTCGCCCATGAAAAGTAGGACACGTCAGTCACATAGAATATGATGTTCATATTCATACATATGTATGCACACAAATCCCCACTAAAGCGATATTTTGTCTCTCACTGGAAGTATATACTATATATATATATATACATAATAAGACAACTGTGCATACGTTTTATCAATCCAGCACAGTTTTCAAATTTGGGTGAGGTAGAAAATACAATCATCTAAAACATAACGTTATCCACATAACAACGGACTTGTAGTTTAAATGTCCGCCACGGACATGTCGCAACATATTATCAACATTCAGAAAATGTAATGGTTCTGAGAAACAGACGACGCGGAATGCCATCCGGACAAAAATAACTCCAAGGCCAAGTTTGAGTCAGTGAAAGGACGACACCCCGCTCTGTCTGTCATGTCTGTATTTAGGGCCATCGTAACTTGCGGTCATGAATGTAGCTTATTTTGCAACGCCACGCAAAAACGACGCTTTTAAATTCCTCGCCCGCTGCCACTAGTACTGGCGGTTCATTCATTCACTCCAGCGCACAGCCTATTAAAAAGATTGTGCGGTTCTTTAATAGTGGCAAATGTGCGGATCTTGGCACATTTATATTAGCGGCACCAAATTCATCTGTGTCCTCATCATTGTTTGGACACAGTATCAACGATCAGCCGAAAGGCCCGGTGGGCGTCACTCCACCGTACAGGGAGGGAAGTCGTGTTAAGTGCCCTTCCCAAGGGCACAACACAGGGCATGTCAGGGATCGAACCCGGTGGGTCCTCTTGGTTCCGAGCAAGACCTTTTACCCGGTAAAATGCAATTTAGAATGACAGTTAACTTCTTGGGGAGGATTTTACATGAAGCCCCTTTTGAAACTTTTGAAATCAACCAAACTACAAGTTTAACGTGCGTTTTACAATGTTGAACGAAATACAAGGATTGTAGCCCCCTACTCACGCTCTTTCTTGGTCCATTGCCAACACGCATACCTATACATCATACAGCGCAACTATATCAACAATATAAGAGACGAGCCGCAGACAAACCCAAGACTTCGAAATAGTGCAGTGTTGAAGCGCCGTCTAGCTGTTTGCTACGTCAAAGCAGAAGTTGCCAAGCTTAGATAGCAAGATCAGCACCAAGGACATCACCACATGTTCCATTGTTAGCGCTGCATGGTTCGATAGATGTGCGCGTGAAGCAGGCGCTTTGTGCGCTTTGTGTGTATTATATTTCTAGCAATCTGCTGTTCCAGATATATTAAACCATCTTTGCCTTGATAGATAAACGTGTCATTTATCATACAATCATGTTTCATGCCAGCACAAGTTTTTGAGAGTCTTTTCTTGTCGTATCATACGACTAAAGCGCTTTGACAAGTCATACTTACTAAATCAGGACTGCGTTGGTTTTAAAAGACATTTCACTCTAGACCATCTCTACTCACGGTTCCTTCCGGCACAGCATGAGTCGTCTCGTGCCTGTAGTGAAAACTCTTGCCTTCGTCAAGTCAGTCACATGTAGGTCTAGAAGACAGGGTCCACCGCTCTGAAATTCTTTTCCAGCTCTTTCTTCATTTTCATGAGCTGCTGAGATGTGTGTGTGCCTGTGTTTGGGAATCTACTGTTACCAAGGCGTAGCATCATGACCACACACGCATTGTGACGTACGTAAGCCGTTCTCGAACGGCCATCACGGTGGTAAAAACTACATCGTACTGTGTATTATGTTCTATGGTAAAAGCTAAATCACGAAACTTCGAAAAAAGCACCATTAGGGCACACCAAGTAAATTTTATGGATGACGTCCGCGCGCGCATTGATTTTGGCCTGTTCCTAGAAAAAAAAACAAGAAATTCCGCTTCCTGTAACTGTGACCAAAGAGTCACGACAGTGCCGCAAATCATCAGATTGACGTGAAACCCGTAACGCGAAAACAGGACAGGACGACAACTGCTGTTCCACCTGATTTATTGCTGTTTTGATGATGAATAAAAGACTTCTTGCTTGTTACACTGTGTCACCTCATTCAATTTGTGTCCTAACATTTGTCGTCTCTTAGTATATTTCTAATCTAGGCATCTTGTTTTTTAGGGCCTTTCTTGTTTTTTTTCGCCCTCTCGCATTAGATTTAGGGTCTCCAAAGGACGTCATCCATAAACTTTACTTGGTGTGGCCTTACCTAACTATGCGTATCACGGTAGTAGCCGCTTTCTCTTGGACCGGTCATCCTGAGGACCAGTACGGGAAGCATTTAGTCAGACTACAGTTAATCTATTTCTTCCTACCATTCTTATTTCATCTAACGATCCACTCATTCATTCATTCACTTCGTTTGAGTCAATCATATATATCTTCACTATCGCATCCATTCACTCAATTAATCAACCGTACTTATTCATGAACGCATTCGTTCATCCATTCATCCATCCAATTCATAACGCGCTAGTAACTCAGTATTCAACACGAAAAAACAATGATATAAGTTTTAAAACTTTTATTCATTCTCGTCAAAATAATTAACAGTATAGTACAGTAAAATCATCTACAAACTGTACTTCAAAATCGCCTTCAACTTAATACAAACAAGACATGTTCTAGAATGTGGCATAGAATATCAGAGTCTGTACATTTCCTCCTTTCAGCTTTATAAATAGTACAAAAATAGACATCTCTCTCATAACCTATAGTCTATACAGTTATACACAGATACATTCTATTACTTAACGTCGTTAATCTAAATTCACAATTAAAATATAACGTTATTACTCGTTCCATTCGTTGAGCTATATTTACAGTCTCTATTGCATCAACATCTAGCGTCAGATGTTGTGCCGATGTTTACAAGACCTTCTTGATCTCGTCGTACAGGACCAGCACGAAGGCGCCGCCCATGCCGCGGAGGATGTTGGAGAAGGCTCCCTTGAAGAGCGCGTTGGCCCCCTCCTGCTGGATGATCTTGCGCCAGCAGTCGATGGTGTTCTTGTAGAGAAGCTCCTTGCGGCCAGACTGCATCATCATGCGGCGCCGCACGGTGTCGAACGGGTAGGAGATGACTCCGGAGGCGGTGGTCACTCCCTGGGCGATGGCCCAGGTCACGAAGAAGTTGTTGTAGTCGGCCGGGACCATGCCCTTGGCGGTGTCGAAGCAGCCGAAGTAGGCGGCGCGGTAGACGATGATGCCCTGGACAGACACTCCGAAGCCGCGGTACAGCCCGTACATGCCGTCGGCCCTGTAGATTTTCTTCAGGCAGTCGCCCAGGCCGTTAAACTCACGCTTGCCGCCGCCGCCAACATCAGCGGCCAGGCGGGTCCGGGCGAAGTCCAGCGGGTAGACGAAGCACAGGGAGGTGGCCCCTGCTGCGCCGCCGGACGCCAGGTTTCCGGCAAAGTAGCGCCAGAACTGGGTATTCTTGTCCACGCCGCCCAGGAAGACTTTCTTGTAGGTGTCCTTGAAGGCGAAGTTCAGGGCCTGGGTGGGGAAGTAGCGGATGACGTTGGCCAGGTTGCCGCGCCACAGCGATGCCACGCCCTGCTCCTTGGTCACGCGGCTGAAGCAGTCCACGATCCCCTTGTACTGCTTGTCCTTTGGGATGTCCTTAGACACTGCCTGCACCTGAACATCACAAATAAAAACACAACGTTAGAACGCGCGAAAGAAAACCTACAGACTGTACCAATAGAATGAATGGTTTCGTAAACCTTTTAACTAGGTACGCAAAAGTTAACGTTCTAGAACATACAACTTAGACAAGCCTTTCAAGCCTTTCAACTTAACTTTCAACTATAAATATACATGTATAAACTAGACCACTTAGAACAAAGTCACGACCTAAACAAGGAGGTGTTCTTACCTGCAGCAGCAGCTTGACTCGCTCGATGGGAGCCACCACAGTCTTGGAGACCCCGGCAGAGATCCCTCCGGCCAGGAAGTCCTTGATAAATCCGAATGCGTCAGGCATCTTGATCACGTTCGATAGTACGAAATTCCACAATCAGGAAATTTCAAAAAATCGCTTTGCGAAGAGTTAGTCTCTCGAAGATTCAACCAGGCAAAACTGATGGAAAGTGGGATTTTCGCCGCCTTATATACCCCTGGGTGCCCTGGGGAACAATGGACAGCGGGCAGGGCGCTCTGAGATGCCGCGATCTGATTGGCTGATGCCGGTAACAGGTTCAGGGCACTCTGCACCCTTCGTCAGGACGGGCATCGTGCTCCGGACAGCCCGCCCTTTTGAACACTGATTGCTTTCTTCTTATTGGTCAAAAGGACAATAATAACGCTACGTCAACCTGCCGTCAAGTCCTGTCATTGGTTTGTTTTCTACAACTCTGATTGGCTTTTGATGACTATGACATCTTGACGACTTTGTTACGACACAAACATTTGCCGGAATTTGAACGTTTAGACCAAATCGTCTGACACGCGTTTAAAAACGATGAAAATACGCTTTAATCATACCGTAATCTGTCTAATACCTGGCACACGATCACGTACGTTTGGGATGTTAGTAACCACAATGGAATATCCGAAGCGAGGAATTATCAGACCTGGCGTGGCGCAGTCCCTTGAAATGGCGCAATATGAAAATTTCGCGCCATGTCGCATTTTTTTAATAAAACATTTGTGTCGTCACAAGCGTCTATTTTGGGGTCGTCACAAATATAATGTAGGAAGACCACCAATAGCAGGGCTGGAAGCCTAATTGTTCTTTTGACCAATCAGAACTCAGCTTTTCAAAGGGCGGGCTGTCCGGAGCACGATGCCCGTCCTGACGAAGGGTGCAGAGTGCCCTGAACCTGTTACCGGCATCAGCCAATCAGATCGCGGCATCTCAGAGCGCCCTGCCCGCTGTCCATTGTTCCCCAGGGCACCCAGGGGTATATAAGGCGGCGAAAATCCCACTTTCCATCAGTTTTGCCTGGTTGAATCTTCGAGAGACTAACTCTTCGCAAAGCGATTTTTTGAAATTTCCTGATTGTGGAATTTCGTACTATCGAACGTGATCAAGATGCCTGACGCATTCGGATTTATCAAGGACTTCCTGGCCGGAGGGATCTCTGCCGGGGTCTCCAAGACTGTGGTGGCTCCCATCGAGCGAGTCAAGCTGCTGCTGCAGGTAAGAACACCTCCTTGTTTAGGTCGTGACTTTGTTCTAAGTGGTCTAGTTTATACATGTATATTTATAGTTGAAAGTTTAAGTTGAAAGGCTTGAAAGGCTTGTCTAAGTTGTATGTTCTAGAACGTTAACTTTTGCGTACCTAGTTAAAAGGTTTACGAAACCATTCATTCTATTGGTACAATCTGTAGGTTTTCTATCGCGCGTTCTAACGTTGTGTTTTTATTTGTGATGTTCAGGTGCAGGCAGTGTCTAAGGACATCCCAAAGGACAAGCAGTACAAGGGGATCGTGGACTGCTTCAGCCGCGTGACCAAGGAGCAGGGCGTGGCATCGCTGTGGCGCGGCAACCTGGCCAACGTCATCCGCTACTTCCCCACCCAGGCCCTGAACTTCGCCTTCAAGGACACCTACAAGAAAGTCTTCCTGGGCGGCGTGGACAAGAATACCCAGTTCTGGCGCTACTTTGCCGGAAACCTGGCGTCCGGCGGCGCAGCAGGGGCCACCTCCCTGTGCTTCGTCTACCCGCTGGACTTCGCCCGGACCCGCCTGGCTGCTGATGTTGGCGGCGGCGGCAAGCGTGAGTTTAACGGCCTGGGCGACTGCCTGAAGAAAATCTACAGGGCCGACGGCATGTACGGGCTGTACCGCGGCTTCGGAGTGTCTGTCCAGGGCATCATCGTCTACCGCGCCGCCTACTTCGGCTGCTTCGACACCGCCAAGGGCATGGTCCCGGCCGACTACAACAACTTCTTCGTGACCTGGGCCATCGCCCAGGGAGTGACCACCGCCTCCGGAGTCATCTCCTACCCGTTCGACACCGTGCGGCGCCGCATGATGATGCAGTCTGGCCGCAAGGAGCTCCTCTACAAGAACACCATCGACTGCTGGCGCAAGATCGTCCAGCAGGAGGGGGCCAACGCGCTCTTCAAGGGAGCCTTCTCCAACATCCTCCGCGGCATGGGCGGCGCCTTCGTGCTGGTCCTGTACGACGAGATCAAGAAGGTCTTGTAAACATCGGCACAACACCTGACGCTAGATGTTGATGCAATAGAGACTGTGAATATAGCTCAACGCATGGAACGAGTACTAACGTTATATTTTAATTGTGAATTTAGATTAACGACGTTAAGGTATAGAATGTATCTGTGTATTACTGTATAGACTATAGATTATTATGGAGATGTCTATTTTTGTACTTCTATTTATAAAGCTCAAAAGAAGAAATGTATTCTATCATCAGTCAATATGTTTTGAAGATATTGTGTTGTAATTGAAACTGCAATGTATTAAACTACATGTTACATACTACTTAACTTATTGTGTACATGTTATGTTATTTTGATGAGAACAAATAAAAATCTTAAAATTTATATCACTGGTGTTTGTGTTGCATGGACCGTTTGCTGAATACTAGTAACTAGCAGATTATGAATGGCTGAAGACTTGAAGAAATGAAAGTATGAATAAATGAGTGAATGAATGAATGTATGAAAGTATGAATAAATGAGTGAATGAATGAATGAATGAGTGAATGAATGAATGAATGAATGAATGAATGAGAAAGAAGAAGAATGAAGAAATAAATAGATTAATATTTATGTGTACTTTGTATGTATCTTACATGTATACATAGATGGATGGATGTTGGCCTTGGTATAACGTTACATCCATAATAAAAGGAAACTGTACCAAGGGGTGACAAATCTAGAACTTTGCCCTGCCCATATTGAATATACAGCTGTATTCTGATTAAACGTATTAGTCTAAGATTATTAGTCTAATTATTCCAAAATCATATCCAGTTGCTTGAGTAGCTGCTTTTTTGGCGTGTATTAGTCAAAGTTTTGCGTGAAGTGAAAGTTTACAAGTTAACAGCTAGTACAAACATAGCCCCCTTTTGAGAAAAAAAATTTATTGCTTTTTCTGAACTCACAATACCACTCACAAAACCACTTCATTGATTGCTATCTTTCTTTGCTTTCTGAAATCTCATTTTTGTGTGAAAAATAATTCAGACCGTCTATGAGACCCATCTACTGATTTGATCCGGTACTGCAGTCCGTCTCGCCCTGTCCCGAACGTCTCGCGATATTCCGCCCGAATAGTCACGTGGTTTTGTTGTGAGGAGTCGCCATCTTGGGGACGGCTTCCTGTGCAAGCTACTTTTCCTCTGACTTGGCCTCCAAATACGGACTATTTCCGTGCCTTTTCTGGAAAGCTGGGAAACCCTCGGGCGCGAATGGATTTCCAGTGACAAGTGGGTAAGTTCCGTTGCATTTTCTTTCGCCGGTGTACGGATCGCGAGTTGTCTTAAAGCGAGATCGTTTCTGCAGCCCTCCCCACCGCTTGTCTGAAGTCACTCTAGACTAGTCGTCTTCAATCGTCTGTGACAAATGATTTACGGCAAGAACTTTTATCTTTGCTCGTTTGCTAGAAGATAAGCCACATTCTCCCATAATGAAGAACACGAATAATCACATTCTGAGCTATAAACGCATCCAGACACTCATTTGGGTTGGGTAGAGTGCAGGATATGAGAAATATGGGTTGGGCAAAAAGAAAGCACTTTTACGGAGAAAACTTGAGTAAACTAGAGCTAATTTTTCACTCTAAAACTGTGATTTTGCTTCAATTCAAAGTCACAGATGCGAAATTCCTCCGTGTACGTGAAAGAGTGAGCTTTTCCTGACAACGGGACCACTTGGAACATGTTTAGGAAGTCTGTCGTCCTTGAAAAGCCGGATATCGGAAGTGGCAAATACAACAGCCAAAAACGTCCACTACTCGATAATTTTTCATGCACGACCAGAATTTACTTAGACACGATGCAGACCCTTTCTTTTTCTTTATGAATTCGGAGAGAAGGGGGATATTTGCTGTGTTTGATTTGCACACAAAAGATAAACCTAATTTGTAAATAATGGCCTGAAAATTCGTCCTGATTACTAAATTACCAAAGTGCGAAGATCAAATTTGAACTTGCAAATTATTTTTGTAGCCTGATGACCAGATAACGTTTAGAGTCCAAAATTTGAGAAACTATAGCGCAAAAAAGTTGAAAGTTTACATAAAATACACACACCATTATTAGGAATGCCTCATGTGATGATTGGTAGAATAACAAACAACAAATTTAATTTTCATAATAGGGAAACAACCTCACAAATCAAATTATACAATCAGTCTTGTATTTTTTACAAATTTGCTAAGTTTTGAAACTCCAATTGTCGTTTTCCCCATAATTTTGTATAACATCATATGGAAATGCCTGGTCCCTAAAAGAATTCGCAAATAGGTGTTGAAGGGATTGAGAAAATTCTGCCAACAGAGTTAGGAAGTCAGTGTGACATTGGGTGACAGTTTACTGTTAGTGCCTTCACATGGGGGTCACATATTACACCCTGGTGATAAGGGGGGTTCAGAATCACATCCAGGCTCAAGTTCATCCACAACATGTGTAGTTTGGATGTCAAAGTCACGGGTAGCATTTCGCAGCCTGCATCCAATTATACTAAGGAATTGCATGTGTTTTTGCAGTGCTGGTAGTACGTACATGTTTGCCATTAGTGGTAAAAAGGTTGGAAATTTTGTTGAAACTTGAAACTATATCTTTAACTCAGAGAGTCCATGTGTACCCCAGATATAAAATTACAGTACTGTGCCATAAAGTATTTCTTTATTGTGATATCCACAAAAAATTTAATCCTACAAAACAGACAAAGAGCACATTAAAACAAAGATAGTCTTTACCCATACCTTCTAGTGTACTTTTTAGGTTGCATATCCATTGGGGGAACCACCTAAATGAAAGTTACTGTATTTTCTCCTATTACTACACAGCTTAATACCTATTTACTCTCCTCTACAATTTTATCAGTTACCCACTTCAACTAAAAAATAGATTGTACAAAGTTTAAATGTATCCTTGCAGTCATAGTTGGCAATATGCTTGATAGCAATTTTGTATGTTTTTATTAGACCAAATACAGTAATGCCACAAGTGTCCAACAAGGATAAGGTCCATTATAATTACCTGGTGGTGGTGCTTTAAGTTTCCCCTACAGATAAAAGAAAGCGTAGGGCTGTGTAACAA